TACAGAGTCCGTTGGAGAAAGGGGGGCGTCATGGCCGCTCTCTAAGTGGGAGGGCGAGAGGGCGCCCCAGCCCCTGCCTGGACAGGCTTTTATTGCCTCTCTGGGTACGTTACACAGGGGATGGTCCTCATTTACTGTGCACACGTTTACTGCAGGTGATTACCTTTTACAGATAGCAGAGGAAAGAATGTTGCTAATACATGTTGCTAAAGAATGTTACTTCAAAGAGAAGGATGTTGCAGACCCAGGGGAAAAGTGGTTGAACCGGTTACACTCGATACCATTACATTCCATCCCCGGGAGATTTAGCACAGATTTTAGGAAGTTACAGTAAGTACTTACTGCCTCAATTCAGGGTGAGGGGGTTAGCAAAAGCAAGCGTCATAGCGGCCTAGGTACAATGCAGGCCTGATTCCCCACGGGAAAACCTCTCCGTGGGCGTGGCCCTGTGTGCTGACTCGCTTCCCACTGGCCTTTCCCAGTGGGACCTGAGCTGCATTTCCACGCCGCGAGAAATGGCTCTCCGTACCAGCTGTCTGTAGGGCTGTGGAGCGGAGAGAGGAGGGCGCGGCACCTCACCTGGAAAGGTGCTATCGGTCAGGGCCGCCTGGCGGTGGAGCCGCACAGACAGTGTCTCGGTCCAGTCCCCCGCTTGCTGAGTGAGCAGCCAGTGACGGTCACATCGATCGGTACCCCATGAGCTTGTCACCAGAGGGACCTGCCCCTGGAGACCTGCTCTCCAGACTGGAGGTTCCAGCTTCCCCACGTGCTGCAGCCAGGACAGGAACACCGTGGAGGGGTCCTCCCACCGGGCCGCCTGGCCACGGTCCCTCAGCCCCCGCGCTCTGGCCCCGCCAGCCTGCGTCAGTCCTGGGGAACACGGGGTCCCCTTCCCGTGCACCGTCCCCCTGCAGGAGGGACAGGCGGGCCTGCATGTTGCCTAGCCCAGTTCTCGGGCTCCGCCTAGGGGTCCCTTCCTCAGAGGAGCCTTCTCTGAGCCCCTGACCTCACTGTTGCTGCTGCCGTGCTCACCGCAGCCTGTAACTGTGTCCTTGCAGGACGGCCGTCAGGGTCGTCTTGTACCAGACTGTCACCCCCAGGGTCGGGAGCCCTGCTCCTGGCACAACAGGGCGCACGCCGGCCACCTCCTGAGTAAGGAGACGGGAAGGTGGGGGGTGCTGGTGCGCTGTGTGAAAAGGGTGGTGGGGTGAGAACGTGGGGCTCGCCCCTACCTGCACCCCGGCGGGCGAGTCTCTGCGGCACTTGACGTCCGTCGGTGACTGGCGTATGTGTCATGGTGGTCGTGGGGCTTCCCCCGCCGGGGTGGGAGCCCCACGGGGTGGGAGCTGCCTTCTCCGCTCGCTGCTGCATCCCCAGTGCCCGAGGAGCAGCTGGGCCGTGAAAGGGCCGGGGGCCAGTGTGCTGAGCGGAGCGGCAGCTTCTCCCGCGGTGACCTGGGAGCCACGGGCCGAGGGGGAGCCGCCTGGGGGGCGGGTGCTGAAGGGCGCAGGGGACGTGGCACGGGCACGGGAGAGGGGCTCGGCAGCGTAAGCGGGGAACAGACCTTGTGTCTTTCGGAGCCTGTGGTGCACCCGGCAGTCCAGACAGCAGGCTGGAGGCTGGGGCAGCGTGAAAGTGTGGGCGGCACAGAGAGGGGGTGGCCGGGGCCTTGGCGTCCTGGACGGCCATGTAGAATGGCTCTGGGGGCGGGAGGGAGAACGGGGCGAGAGCCAGGGCCCTGAAATCAAGGAGCTGGGGCAGCAAGAGACGCTCTTCTGCCCTTGGTCCAGAACGACAAGGCGCACTGTGAGTTCAGAGAAGGCGCTCCTCCCAGAGCCCCCCAAGGCCCCGGAGGGACCGCCCGAGCTCCCTGCCGCGCGCTGGCCCGTTCTGGGAGAACAGTGGTAGGGTTTGTGAGCTGTTTGGACCCTGCTGTGGCAATGCCCTGGGAACATTTCAGCTAAAAGCAGAAAATTGTTTCTTGGAAAGAACATTATTTTAAGATTTGCTTTCTTATGTAATGATTTGACACACCACCTTTTCACCAGCAGATGTCGCCCTCATTGAAAAGAGGAAAAGCTGATTAGGCAAAGGAGCCTAACCATAATTTCCAGCTTACCAGCTTTTTGATTAGTTATGTCGTTATTAGCTGGGTGCTATTGTAATTTTTTCTAAGTAAAACGAATGATTTGTTTACGATCCATGAAGAAACTCAAACCTGAACTGCCCTCGCCTTGTGCATGTGCTGGGTGACACGGGTGTGCCGGCGCCGTGGCCGGGCCTCGGCCCTGCAGGTGTGGCCGGGAGCGTCAGGACGGCCTCGCACCCCGCGTTGTGTCGGGGCCACGGCAGGCGGACAGAGGTGGGTCCGAGGACCATGCACGGCTAGCCGGGAAGGGCCCGTGGGATCTGCCGATAAGGGTGGATCCAAAATCTGAGGTCCTCCACTTACCAGTTTGGTGTTACGTTCACTGGCTCCTGGTTTCAGAGATCTGAAAAAACTGGCTTCAGCCAGGAAAGACTGGTCAGCAGCTCACAGGAGAGAGGCCCGAGGCGCAGCTCCACAGGTCCGAGTTCCTGGCTCCCTCAGTGCTGCTGCTGAGCGAGGCTCCCCCGCCTTCCCCGGGGCCGGGGCGGCTGGCAGTGTCCCCGTGAGGAGTGTGAGGGTAGCCGACAGGGCACGAGGCTCCGGGCCCCCGGCCTCTCGTTTAGCTGAGCAAATGCTTGGTGGCGCTTCTACGTGTGGGTTAAGGCGCCAGGACTGGGGCCGGCCCAGAACCACAAGGGGACATCGGAGAGCTGGCGACCTGCCACAGCTGACAGTCCTCTGTGAGGTGGCCGTTTGCATGTACACGGTCCTGAGGACTCAGCCCAGACTCCGTCCCTGCAGGAGGCAGACCGTGCTGTTCGGCAGGGTCTTCTAGTTCAAGCCACATGAGTCATTTTAAATATTCTAGCAGCAACATTTCAAACAAAAGCACAGGTGAAATTACAGTTAATAAGAGACTTTTAGCCTAGCACACTTAAAATGGTATCATTTCAACATGAAATCGATGTGAAAGTTGCCAGTAAGATGGATTTCCTGGGTGTTGCACTAACTGAAGTGCAGTGTGTGGGCGCATGCGCCCGTCTCGGTTCAGGCTTCCAGGGCTCGGCGGCCGCGCGTGGTGCGTGGCCCTGGCTCCTGCGTGACCGACGGCCAGTCAGCGCCCCGTGCTCCCTCGGCGGGCTGCCGGCCCACTCAGGTGACCGCCCTGCGCGCCCCCCTCTGTGCAGCACTCCCGCCGCCCGGGGCGCAGACCCAGCTCGTTCGCGTCGGGCCTTGGGCACCTTCCGTGTGAAGGGCGGCCGCTTCCCAGCAGCACTGTCCGGCGGGCAGCTGCAGATCGGGGCAGGACTGAAGCAGAGGGCAGCACGGGGCAGCATTTGGGTGTCACCAAAACTGGGTGACCTTTCCGGCGAGTCCAGGGCAGAGGAACGAGTCCAAAGGCTTGAAGCCCGTGCGGGGTCTCGGGGCCCGCGGGGCCCGGCGGAGGCCCTGAAGGGCCCGGACAGCCAGCCCGCCCGTCCTCTGCGGGCAGGCCTGGAGGGGTCTGCGCGGGGTTTCGGGGAGCGGCCGAGCGCACCCTCGAGCTCGGCGTGCTCCCGTCGCCCACTGCGCGGTGGCAGCGTGCTGCCCCTCCGTCCAGCGCTGCAAGGGGCCGGCTGTCCTCGCAGGCGGAGCGGAGCCCCGGGACTGATGGATTAACTGTGATTATTTTTCCTTTTAAAACCGAACAACACCCACACGAGACTTCGAACGAGCTGTTGACAGCAGTGGGACTGGGCAGACCCAGGAGACTGCAGTGTGGTCAGGAAGAGGAGGGCGCCCTGGGTTCGGGACCAGGGTCGTGGTGGCAGACAGCACACAGCGTGGCTGTGATTTCCCGAGAGAGAGGGAGCGGTCTGAGCCCAGGCGGAGGGTGGGGACGGCGGCTCCCACCCTGGGAGATGAGAAGGGGGAACGGGAACGTCTCGCGCTCTCCCCCGTGCTGCCCGGAAACGGTCTTAGGGTGTCCCCTGTCCGGTCTGTATGAGACGCACACAGACTAGGTGCAAACTCCTTTCACGCGGAGCTCTGCTCAATTAGGGAACCAGAGACATTTACACGCTGAGTAGACAGAAACTCTTCTCATTTCCAACACCAAGATACACGCGGTGTTTGGTGGATATTAATGTTGCAAGTGCAAGATCGGAAGAGCCGTTGGGGCTCAGGTTCTCTTGCACTGGACACGTCTGCGCGCCCTTCCTCCTGCGGGGCTGCCGCTCGGACCGCCCCCAGCGCTGGCGCGCCCGTCGGGGGAACCCCATCAGGGTACCGCTCTGCGCTCCCACTCCTTTCCTTAGTTAAATTGCTGTGCAGCCTTCGTCGAGCACCGTCCTCTGACAGGGTTCTGGCTTTCGCTTAACGCAGAGGCATCACGTGCAGATCGGCCCTGCGCTCTTTCCCAGTGAGTCCGTGACGCGGGGCGGGGGTGTCGCGGGCCCCACCCTGCGAACGCCGGGCTGTCTGAGTAACCCAGGTGCATGCCCCGATGCGTGTTCTTTAGACTGTCGTTAGAATTAGCACAGCACAGTTACGTTTCAGTCGTGGGCATCCAACTTAAAGACCCCACAGGTTCGCAGTGCTCCCTCCCCCGCTCACCTACTCCTTCCCCCCGGCGGGGCCCAGGAGCCGGGCTCTCGCCGGCCGAGGCCTGTGCAAACTGGAGGGTGAGGGCTGCTCTCTGACTCGACACCCATTTCGCAGACCAGCACCCTGGCTCAAGGCTACGGTCAAGACTGGTTAGTCTGTAGGAAAACTAGGCGTCAAACCTCGAATCTAGACTTCAGTCCAGTTCTGTTCCCAAACACTGCATTGCCATCTCTCTCTCAGATTTCTGCTTCCTTCCTTTTGGTTTGGGTTGGGTTTTACAGGGGCGTCACTAAAGTTTCCGGTTCTTTTCATTTCGTCCTTCTAGTGCCAGAACCTACTAAGACCTGCTCCAGCCAGCCCCAGCCTGCCGGCCCCGGGACCAGCACTTCCACCAGCACTCTCCCCAGCAGCAGCAATGGCAAGCGCGCACCTGCCGGCGGCCAGCAGCCAGCTGCATCCCGTTACCTGCCTCGCGAGGTGCCTCCACGCTTCCGCCAGCAAGAACAGAAGCAGCTATTGAAGAGAGGTCAGCCGTTGCCCACGGGGGCGCTGACCAGTGGAAGCCCCACCCAGGGTGCTGGGCCTGCGGGGGTAAGCCCTCCTCCCCCGCCGGGAGCCGGCGCACAGCAGCAGCCCGGTAAGCTCCAGCCAGGTAAGACCCCACAGAAGGGCAGTCCCTTACCTGGGGGCTGGGGCGCCGTCTTCAGCCTGGCTGCCCGGGAACACAAGCGGACGTATTTGTGTCCGTCTTCAGCGTATACGTGGAGCGGAGCTAGCTGGGTGGGTGATAGAGACACAAGTAGATTAGGTCATTGAGAATGGGTGGGTAGGCAGGTAACAGGTAGATTCACTTCAGTTGGATTTTAAAGTTGAATTCCCTTTCCCCCACTTGTTTATAGTACGCCTCACGTACTTGCACTTGGCAGCAGCTGCTCTGTCGCTCTCCGGAAACCAAAGGTCTGGACGTCGGCACACAGGAGCGTGTCAGGGCGGGTGCTTTGGAACCCTGCGGTGAAAACGCGTCAATAACACCCTTTCTCTCGGTTCACTAGGGTCGCTCGTGACCTCCCACACGTGTGCGTCGCAGGGAGGTGACCGTGTTTTATGTGATGTGGGTGTTGCTAACTGTCATGTCACACACGTCCAGCCAGACCTGCCTGGCAGCCCTCACCCTCAGCCCTGCGGCGTCTCGGGCTCGACCCGCCTGCTCCGGTGGGCGCGGCCTTCTCTTGCTCCCGGAGAAATCGCCCCTCGTTCGTTTGCTTTCCAGCTTCCAGAGTGTGACGTCTCACCTCCCAGCCCCTGTTCCCGGCGTCATGACTTTATGGGTTTGGACCTAAAACTTTTTTACTGGAATTCTAGAGGTGTTTTTGGAAGAGAGCGAAGTACATGCGTTCCAGCGCCAGGCTCCCCTTTCCTGCAGCCCGCCCGTGTTAACGACTGGCTCTGGTCCCGGCGCGGGGACCCTGTCTGCTGGCGGCAGTGGGGTCCCGGTCTGTGGTTAGGGAAGGGGGGCTTCTTGGATTGGGTGGAATTTGAAACACACATGTCACGAATCATGTTAACATTTTTTCTTTCATGGGCTGCCTTTTAACGTGGGGAATAATTTCCACGTGGTGTAAAAGTGTCTGTAGCAGGGTTTCTCCAGACCGGGGCGTGCTCAGAACAAAGTCAGACGGCCTGGCCGTGTTTCTCCCAACAGGCGTGACTGTCACCTGCTGCGTCCCTGGGAGAGTGGACACAGGTCAGTGATCAGATACATTCATTGACCGAGAGTGTAGTCCGCCTCCTTTGCTGCAAGCCGCTTACAGTCAAACGTGCCGTTACTTTCTAAGCTGAAACGTGGTCCTCAGTGAAGCCGTAACACGCACAGAGGTTGTGTACTCGTGCCTGAGAGGCTTGATGTGTTAGGTTGTGATGCGTATTTTTAAAAAACTGAGGAGCCAATGTGGCGGCCTGCCCTCTCCGGGGCCTTCCCGTCACGGTGCTGGTCGGGCGCCAGAGCTGCGTCAGTGTTCCCGTCGAACGCTGCTGGGGCGGGTGTTGCCGGTGTCCGTCTTCTCAGACGTGCAGGGAAGTGACAAGAAATTCATTCGCTGGAATTTTATGTGAGAATATTTTTTATTAAAACATTCGTCTCTATACCTGTTAACGTTCTCTAGAAAGTTATCCCTAGTTCATTTTACTTTAAAATATATAATAAAGACTAGTTCATCATTTTATGTATGAAAATATCTCAGAAAATAACATTAGTCCACATAATATTAACAAAATAAGGAAAGATTAATTTTTGGCTCTCAAACTCAACTCTTCACTTTGCACCAGTTTTCTCCCGGCAGTCTCTGCTGTCCCGGCAGAGGAATCTTGGCAGTTCGTCCCCTTGCACTGACTCAAAGGTCCCTGCAGCCCCTGTGCAGCTTTCCGCGGCACCCGGTGCCCCGTCGGACAGTCCCGCCGCCTGGCCGTCCTCGTGTCCTCAGAGGTCCCTCACGGCCTCCCCTGCCAGCGTGTTCCCTGCTTCTCCCCACAGCCTGCCTCCCGTGCTTCCTGCCGGTCTCACCGGTGTGCCCACCTGGCATTGTCGCGTCCAGTATGTGCGCACGCTTGGCCGCCCTGCCCCTCCCTGCACACCACTGTATCGCCTGCCCCCCACCCCCAGGAGGCCCGGAGCATTCCCACCCTCGCCGTGCCCCGCTCTGCAGCAGGCACTCCCACCCGAGTGCTGTGTGTGCTCACTGCGGCGCGCTCTCAGGACGGGGCCGAGCCACCCCCGCGGCACGAGGGCGGCGCGGCGAAAGGACTCCGGGGCGCAGGGAGGGCCCGGGCAGGGCGCCCTCGGAGCTTCGCCTGCTGCCGGAGCCTCGCGGCCCGTCCTCCCTTCCCAGAGCCCGTTCGCCCTGTCACTGGGAGTCCCTGCTCGCTCTCCGGCTCTCCCCCTCCCGAGGCCCTTCACGGGGCTCCCTCCAGTCACCACATGGCACTTCCAGGCTGCAGCCGCCCCACTGCTCTGGACGCACCTGTTCCCGTGGTCCCCGAGAGGACTGCCACCCTCGGGAGGTCGCAGGGGCGGGACTAGTGGGGTGGTGTGAGCCCGGCGGGAGGACCGCGTCCTCCCTCCACCGCTGCCGGTCTCCAGGCACGCAGGCACGAGGCTCGGGCACTGGGAGGGCTCCTCCCAGCCCCCGGCCCGGCCCCGGCGCCAGTCCTCCCTTCAGATAGCAATTGTCTGTCCTGACGTGGAATGCGGACCTCTGAAATAACTCAGGGAGCTGGATTTTCACATTCATGTATTGAATTGGCAAAAAAAAATTTAACTGGTAAAAGTGTAAGTGTAGTGACTCGGGTTCCAGAAAAATGTCATTTTATCACATTGTTTTTCGTTCAGACCCTGTTCCTGCAAGTCTGAAGCAGAGCTCTGGCTTGGAACACTTGGGAGCTTTTATCAGTTTTTAAAAGCCTCTCTTTAGTTGTGCTAAAGACGGACAGTGTATTGTTTCGGTGGCCGCTTTGTACGTGTCGTGTATAAACAGGCTTCGGTGACTCGGCGGCTGTGTTTGCTGCTTAGACATCCTTCATATGGAGGCAGGAAGGTAATTAAGGAGTTGGACACTTGCCAATTTGCATATGGTGCTCATTTGGGATATTGGAGCCAGTGTCGGAATGCCAACTGTTCAGGGGGCGAAGACGGAGAGGGAACGGAGACAAAGGCAGCGAGAGCGTGCGGCGGCTCATTTGCATGCGGCCCACGGCCATGTGCCGTTGTGCTCTTGGCTGACTTTCAAAAAGGCAGAAGAAAACTGGCTCTGACGCTGCCTGTGCCCAGGGCCCGAGCAGGAACGTGGCGGCAATGGAGGGAACTGAAAGAGGAGGGAAGATCGGTTTAGTGTCAGCTGCAATTAGATAATCAAAGCTTTCCAGGCCCTCCGTGGGCTCTCCCCCGCAGCGGGGCAGCGGGGCCTCCCGGAGCGGAAGGGCTGCCAACGCTGCCCGCTGGCCCCCGCGGGCGCCCGCAGGTTGCCTGGGACTTGGCTGGCAGCGCGACAGGATGAGGCTGTCGCTGTGCGCGGCTGACATGGTGGAGCTGAGAGCCCAGGCCACCCTGGAGGCGGGCGAACAGGCCGCCAGCTTGCAAGGTAGCGTCCCCCGGGGGTCGGGGGCCCTTTCTGCAGGCACTTCTGCCCCGTCAGCCCTGGCAGAGGAGGGGAAACGAAACGCACACGGAGCAGAGCGTGTGCTCGTCCCGAGCCAACACGTGACGTGCCCTCAGAGAGCAGCGGCAGCTCCGAGCCCGGGCTGCCGGCACAGGTCGCGCCGTGAAATGGCGCCCTGGGGAGCTGCTGGCCCCGGGCTGGGCAGGGCGGCCCGCCGGCCCCCCTCCACCTTCTGGGCATGGGCCGGCCTCCCGAGGGAGGACGCTGCTCCTCAGGGTCCCAGTGGTATCTCGTCCTGACAGGGTGTCAGCCTGGAGGAAGCGGTCTTCTTCCCTGCTCGTTTGAAGAGAAATCAGGGCAATAAGCTTATTCTCTTCAACACTTCCCATCGTTGTTGCCAGTACACCTTTTACTCTGAAACCTGTACTCAGGTTCCTCACTCTCGGGCTCGAGCGATCGGCCGGGTGTTTTGGACTCTGTCTGGCGACAGAGTTGTGCATCCAGGTCTCCCCGCAAGCTGCCCGCACAGTAGACGCCATCCAGGGAGGTGTCGGGGGTCCTTGGGGGCCGGCAGCGGCTGCTGGCGAGTCCCGCCGCTCGGAACCTGGGTGACAAGGGACTTGTGTGGCCGGCGAGCGTCTCGTGGAGTGTGTTTCCGGTTACGGAAAGCCATTGGAGCTATTTTTCATAACATCTGTAATATTTTTCTAATTTCCATTGAAAGGCTATGGTGATAAAGAATGAATTATGTCCCGTTTGTCAGCGTTACGACTAATTAAGCATTCTGCACACTTCTGAGTAAATCTTGTCCGTGCTTCCCTATCTGATTAATTTGATACCTAATTAAGTTTTTGCTTAATGCAGCTTTTGGAAGCTCTTTGTTAAATACTCTTCCTTGAAAACTTTATTTTTACATTTTTAACATTTTAAAATTTAAAAGGAAAAAAAAAAGAAGAAAGCTTTTCTCTTTAAACCAAGCTATCCTGTCATGTAATCCTTTTTAATTTAATCACTTAAGGCAGTTATGTTACTTAGATTTTTATAGACATTTATTTTCAGAATGTGTGAGCCATTGAAACAGAAGAAAAGACAATTTGACATTATATACAAACTTCATTACTTTTTTCTTTTTAAGACTTTTTTTAGGGGAAATTTTTCTGATAGTAGAATGGTATAGTGGAAAGAGCAGTAGGATTTTATTCTAAAAATGTGGGCTTTAGTTCAGTCCTCACTGCTTTATTTGTTATATTTGTTATAACACCTTTTCCAAGTTTGACTTCTCCTAACCTCTCTTTCCCCATCTCTGAAGTGGACATAACTTGTAAGGTTCGGTGCACTCACTCACTGTGTGTGGAAGCACTTTTAGACCTTCAGAGTGCCGCGCAGTGTGTGCCGTCTCCTGGAGTGAAGACTGGCTCGGGAACTTGCTCAGACCTGCTGCGTACAGGCACGTGGGACACGGCCCCCAGGGCCCTGGACTGCGCGGGGGGCCTGCAACCCC